GACTGCAACTGAATGGTTTCTCGCCAGTGTGCGTTCGCATGTGTACCATGCAATTATCTTTCCCACTGAAAGAGGAGGACCAATGACTGCAACTGAATGGTTTCTCATCAGTATGCGTTCGAACATGTGACGTTAAAGAATTTTTGTGAGTAAAGCATGCCGTGCAATGACTGCAACTGAATGGTTTCTCGCCAGTGTGCGTTCGCATGTGCATCTTTAAAGTGTCTTTCCTACTGAAAGAAGACGAGCAATGGCTGCAACTGAATGGTTTCTCACCAGTATGCAAGCGAACATGTTCCGTTAAAGACTTTTTGTGAGAAAAGCATGCTGTGCAATGACTGCAACTGAATGGTTTCTCACCAGTGTTCGTTCGCATGTGCGACTTTAAATTGCCTTTTTTACTGAAAGAAGAGGAGCAATGACTGCAACTGAATGGTTTCTAACCAGTATGCGTAAGAACATGTTCCGTTAAAGTATACTTTTGAGCAAAGTATGCCGTGCAATGACTGCAACTGAATGGTTTCTCACGAGTGTGCGTTCGCATATGCATCTTTAAATTGTTTTTGATACTGAAAGAGGAGGAGCAATGATGCAACTGAATGGTTTCTCACCAGTATGCGTTCGAACATGTGCCGTTAAGGAATTTTTGAGAGCAAAGCATGCCGTGCAATGACTGCAACTGAATGGTTTCTCACCAGGGTGCGATCGCATGTGCATCTTTAAATAGTCTTTAATACTGAAAGAAGAGGAGCAATGATTGCAACTAAATGGTTTCTATCCAGTATGCGTGCGAACATGTTCCGTTAAAGACTTTTTGTGAGAAAAGCATGCTGTGCAATGACTGCAACTGAATGGTTTCTCAAAAGTGTGCGTTCGCATGTGCACCTTTAAAGTGCCTTTCCTACTAAAAGAAGCGGAGCAATGACTGCAACTGAATGGTTTCTCACCAGTATGCGTTCGCATGTGCATCTTTAACTGAATTTTCATAAGGAAAGAGGAGGAGCAATGACTGCAACTGAATGGCTTCTCACCAGTATGCGTCCGTATGTGCTTTGATAAATTACTTTTGTCAGAAAAGCATGCCGTGCAATGACTTCAACTGAATGGTTTCTCACCAGTATGCGTGCGAACATGTGCCGTTAAAGACTTTTTGTGAGAAAAGCATGCCATGCAATGACTGCAACTGAATGGTTTCTCACCAGTATGCGTGCGAACATGTTCCGTTAAAGACTTTTTGTGAGAAAAGCATGCCGTGCAATGACTGCAACTGAATGGTTTCTCACCAGTATGTGTGCGAACATGTGCCGTTAAAGACTTTTTGTGAGAAAAGCATGAAGTGCAATGACTGCAACTGAATGGTTTCGCACCAGTGTGCGTGCGAACATGTTCCGTTAAAGTATGTTTTTGAGCAAAGCATGCCATGCAATGACTGCAACTGAATGGTTTCTCACCAGTGTGCGTTCGCATGTGCTTCTTTAAACTGTTTTTAATACTGAAAGAGGAGGAGCAATGATTGCAACTGAATGGTTTCTCACCAGTATGCGTGCGAACATGTTCCGTTAAAGAATTTTTGTGAGAAAAGCATGCTGTGCAATGACTGCAACTGAATGGTTTCTCACCAGTGTGCGTTCGCATGTGCACCTTAATAAAGTCTTTACTACTGAAAGAAGAGGAGCAATGATTGCACCTGAATGGTTTCTCACCAGTATGCGCGCGAACATGTTCCGTTAAAGACTTTTTGTGAGAAAAGCATGCCGTGCAATGACTGCAACTGAATGGTTTCTCACTAGTGTGCGTTTGCATGTGCTTCTTTAAACTCTTTTTACTACTGAAAGAGGAGGAGCAATGATTGCAACTAAATGGTTTCTCACCAGTATGCGTGCGAACATGTTCCGTTAAAGACTTTTTGTGAGAAAAGCATGCTCTGCAATGACTGCAACTGAATGGTTTCTCACCAGTATGCGTGCGAACATGTTCCGTTAAAGACTTTTTGTGAGAAAAGCATGCTGTGCAATGACTGCAACTGAATGGTTTCTCACCAGTGTGCGTTCGCATGTGCGTCTTTAAATTCTTTTTAATACTGAAAGAGGAGGAGCAATGACTGCAACTGAATGGTTTCTCACCAGTGTGCGTTCGCATGTGCATCTTTAAATTGTGTTTTCTGCTGAAAGAAGAGGAGCAATGATTGCAACTGAATGGTTTCTCACCAGTATGTGTGCGAACATGTTCCGTTAAAGACTTTTTGTGAGAAAAGCATGCCAAGCAATGACTGCAACTGAATGGTTTCTCACCAGTGTGCGTTCGCATATGCATCTTTAAATTGATTTTAATACTGAAAGAGGAGGAGCAATGATTGCAACTGAATGGTTTCTCACCAGTATGCGTGCGAACATGTTCCGTTAAAGACTTTTTGTGAGAAAAGCATGCTGTGCAATGACTGCAACTGAATGGTTTCTCACCAGTATGCGTTCGCATGTGCATCTTTAAATGAATTTTCCTAAGGAAAGAGGAGGAGCAATGACTGCAACTGAATGGTTTCTCACCAGTGTGCGTTCGCATGTGCACCTTTATATAGTCTTTACTACTGAAAGAAGAGGAGCAATGATTGCACCTGAATGGTTTCTCACCAGTATGCATGCGAACATGCGCCGTTAAAGACTTTTTGTGAGAAAAGCATGCCGTGCAATGACTGCAACTGAATGGTTTTTCACCAGTGTGCGTTCGCATGTGCACCTTTAAATAGTCTTTACTACTGAAAGAAGAGGAGCAATGATTGCAACTAAATGGTTTCTCACCAGTATGCGTGCGAACATGTTCCGTTAAAGACTTTTTGTGAGAAAAGCATGCTGTGCAATGACTGCAACTGAATGGTTTCTCACCAGTATGCGTGCGAACATGTTCCGTTAAAGACTTTTTGTGAGAAAAGCATGCTGTGCAATGACTGCAACTGAATGGTTTCTCACCAGTGTGCGTTCGCATGTGCATCTTTAAATAGTTTTTAATACTGAAAGAGGAGGAGCAATGACTGCAACTGAATGGTTTCTCACCAGTGTGCGTTCGCATGTGCCTCTTTAAATTGTGTTTTCTACTGAAAGAAGAGGAGCAATGATTGCAACTGAATGGTTTCTCACCAGTATGTGTGCGAACATGTGCCGTTAAAGACTTTTTGTGAGAAAAGCATGCTGTGCAATGACTGCAACTGAATGGTTTCTCACCAGTATGCTTGCGAACATGTGCCGTTAAAGACTTTTTGTGAGAAAAGCATGCCGTGCAATGACTGCAACTGAATGGCTTCTCACCAGTGTGCGTTCGCATGTGCATCTTTAAATCGTCTTTACTACTGAAAGAGGAGGAGCAAGGATTGCAACTAAGTAGCTTCTCATTACGAGTATGCGTTCGCATGTGTTTCTTTAAATTATCTTCAATACTGGATGAGGAGGAGCAATGACTGTAATTGAATGGTATCTCGCCATCGTGCGTTTGCATATGTGTAATTAAAGCGCTTTCAGAAGAAAAAAGGCTCAAACACTCGCCGCAAGTGAATGGGTTCTCACTAGCGTGCGTTCGAATATGTTCGACGAACTCGGATTCCGACGCGTTTGTTTGGGTAGGGGGTTCACTCTTGATTTCGATATTCGTATCTGACAGGTCAATCCAACTTTCATGAGAATGGTCGGGAAGTGGAGAGCTCATGTCCTCCCTTTTCACTCGCGCTGTCGTCGGGACAAAATCACGAATATCATTCTCCAAATCGTGTTCTCCTCCTCCTCGTCCCAACCTGAGTTCTGACTCATCCGTCTGGGGAGTGGGTTCACTCTTAATTTCAATGCTCGTGTGCAGCTGGTTGGTCCAACTTGCATAATCTTTTTCATCCTCGCATTCAATTTTGGGGGGATGAGCGGAGGGCGAATCCAAGATGGACGAGGGCGAGGTGTCTTCGGTCTCTTCTACTGATGCAAGTCGGGTATTGTTGGAATCTTGAGGGTGACTTCCTCCGGACGGGGGAGATGGGTTGCCAGGCATAACGCTCGACTCCCAGCTGGTGCACGCTTCAGGTGGGGCCTGCATTGAAGGGCTCGTGCAATCAATCCTCGAGACGTCTCCCACGGGGTCCTTCGCACTTTTATCGTTTGGTGGAATCACTGGATTGTAGTCCTCGGGTGTGCTGAGTGCAGAGTGCTCTTCCAGTTGGATTTTTAGCTTCGGCATTCTCCATTCAAAATCCTGAACAGAATAAATTTCAAGACTTGTAAGCAATGCTTTGGACGACCGGTTACGATTGGAGGCAAACCATAGAGGGATTGAAAGACGGAGAGATACCATTTGCGATACGTCGATTGATCTGCCACTTATGGAAGAGGATCTATGTACAGGGTGTTCGTAACAAACACCTTCATAGTAGATTTTTCACCATCGCTTCAGATAGGAAAATATTGATAATCGATCGCTCACGCCACGCCATTGGATACGGGTACTCGCGGGGTCGAAGTTTGCAATGTATCGGATAACGATATTCGTTAGCAACATTAATGATGTTAATTCTTTCTTTCTGGATAAATTGAGGCTTAGAATGCCACGAGCAAAAAGGAGCATAAAGCATGTGACGTAGATTGAGATAAAGCAGTTAACCGGTTGACACGCCTTAGTTGGTGGCGCAATTCACTCGAGTTCGGTTCCAACTCAAGAATACAAATACTTCGACTTTGGCGTGTTGCACAGTATCGCACGCAATTGAAGGCGTTTTATGTTGGTCCGACCGCTACCTGCGGAGAGTGGAGTCTTGATGTGTTGACTTTGAGTGCTGTTTAGCTGCGCATACGTTGAATGCAAAATCATAGCCAATTCTCACATATTAGTGTTATGAATAGCTGATGACTTCCGGGATTGAAATCAAGTATTCAGCTTTATTTTGGAAGAATGATAAAAGTCTCAATTTTTTATGCCGAGAAGTTCCTTTACCGTGCTAAATATAGTTCGCGTCAAAAAGAGCTCTCTGATACAGAGTTTCGTAAAAATCGATCGCTCAACGGAGCTCAGCGCTAATACCTGCTGTGCGAACCCGTCCTGCCGCACGGTGGATCGAGTCAATAGGAGAGGTCGGACAAAATTTGGATACTTTATACGCTTATAATTCCGTTTACACAAAACTTAAAAGTTCTAAAAGTGGTTCTATTGGTTTTCTCGTGAAATACTCTACAAGAGACACCTCTTAAAGTTTGAAAAGTGGCGAAATAAACATAAAAATTTGCAGTTTTAGTCAAAAATTTCAGGTCCGACCTCTCGAATTGACTCGATCCACTGTGCGCCGTGACAACTCTCAAATTTTCGAAATCGAGTTTCTTTCAAAATTTGTCTAATTTAATTAGGACGAAAAGACCGATGCTGC